TTAATATATCGCCACTTAGTGTAACTACCAAAAATATCAATAAAGACAGCTCAGTGTTGATTTAGTTCTGTCCAATATGTAAAGTTAATCAATTATGAAATGTGTTCAACTGGACAATATAGCATTGTTTATTAGTATGAAGCCTTTTTAACAAGCCTTTGTAAAAAGAACAGTTATCTCATTAGTTTCTAAGGTAACAACCTTGACAGCTGTGCTGAATTAATGTTCAGTGTTTGTCATGTGACAGCACTTAAGCATACTACTCTGAAACATTTATTGCTTATTGTATACTGTTTCACACACTATTCTTTAAAAAATAGTAGGCAGTATGCACTGTGTACTGGGCAGTAAGCAGTAAGCAAGTATGCCATTTCGAGCACAGCCATAGATTCATTTGTGAGGCCCATTGTCCACAATAATAAATCAGTGTTTGCCATAATTACACAAATGAAACAATACAAAAACTATTTCAGTTTGAAAGAAATAAAATGGGTCTACGTTCAGACTTGTTAGACAACACATCTGGTGAGTTGGACTAGTAAAGGTAAGATAAATCCTGGATTAACCCTAGATTTTTTAAAATCTTAAATAGAGACTGCCTGTGTTAGCTCTGATTCGGTCACAGTAAGAGCTCTCTCAGGACACTCATTATCTGTCAGATTAGGCTCCCACAGGGTCTCACTGACATCTAGCTCCATCATAATCTCAGAGATACGCTTTTTCTTCTCCTTAAGACGGTTGATTTCCTGTTCCTTCTGCTTGTAAACTGCCTCAAATTCTTTGTTGAATGTACTCTTCACTTTGTAGATAGCGTCCTTCATAAAACAACCATGAAATGTAACAAATGAATAGTAGTAGACTCCTATGACCCCCCCCCCCTTTTTTTTTTTTTTTACATTTTCTGTACTCAAAAGGGAATGCCAGCACACAAGTAAACATAATAAAACATCAAGTTCAATTATCAAGTATAAACAACAAGAGTCATCACCTTTAGCAAGGTGATTTGGTTGATTTTCTGCTCTCTGATGTGTAAATTGAACTGGCTGTAGAGATAAGGATTGACGCCTCCATATAGAGCACTCAGACTGCCAGTCAGAGCAGGACTCCCTGTCTTACTGTCCTCTGCCTCCTCTTCCTCTTTGTCTCCAGAGATTGTGTTTAAAATCATCTCTTGAAGCTATGAAGAATATGTATATTATTTGTGTCAATTTTGTGAAATAACAGAAACAAACACTGTGTCATGGTATGCTGCTATATGTTCAGTATGAGGCTTTGGTTGCTATGGAGGAATCCATTCCAACAGCTGACTCATTATTGTTTGAGAAACACACTGTACACTTATTTGTGAATCTTCCTGTTCAATCTGCCTCATGGTCTCAACCCTCTGAAGCTCCTCAAGTTCCTTTTCAGTGCGTTTCTTCATGGGGTAGTTCTTCACCTCATTTTCTGAATGAAAGGCCTGGGGGCAACAAAATGCACACAAAGACACTGACACTTGGCAGCTGTATAGTGTTTCTAGTTCTAGGTAAGCCAGGTGAAATAGATGGATGTGGATATTATTACTGTTTTTCCCCCTACATAAAATCTACTTTCTTTTTATACTAGAGACCTTAATGGATTTCCCTTTGACTTGCATGGAATCCCAGCATTCTTTCTTCAGGATCTCCCTCTGATAGCACTTAGCCAGATTCTCCATCTCAATCTCTTTCCTCACCTTAAACAACATAAATACACATCTAAAATTGGTAAGAAAAAATCCTATATAAACTGAAAAGCTTGTTTGTATAAAAAATGTCTAATTAATCTACTCTTCATCATCTGTAAATAGTCATGTTTACCCTGGTAACTTCCTGTTTTCCCTCGAGCTGCAGCCTCTGTTGCTCTTCCACAACCAGGTTAATTCCTGGTGCTCAAGTTTCTCCATGTCTGGCAGACTCTCATTCTCCTCCATCATTGCTTTGATCTGGAGTGATGCAGAGACAATTAAGACTAACCTTTCAACTTCAAATGTGTGTATGGAAACAATAATATGAAAGAGAAACAAAAGGTGGACGATTCTTTCTCTTACTGTGTCACGAAGAACTTTGATGTTTTTTCTTAGGTTCTTCTTTGTCTCTGCATACTGCTGGGTCTCCTCTTGGAGAACCTGTTTGGAAACCACCAAAGTCATGATCTTATTATTAATATATTATCTTTCAATTATTCTATTTCTCACTCATACACAATGCTTGATGTTTGTGGAAACCAGTATCATAATCTTTCAAAAGTTTGGGGTTGGTAAGATTATTTTTTTTTAAATCTTTTTGAAATAAGTCTCTTTCCAAGACTGTATTTATTTGATTAAAAAAATACAGTAAACCAGAAATATTATTAAAATAAAATACCTTATCTATTTTTATATATTTCAAAATGTAATTTATTCCTATGATTGCAAAGCTGAATTTTCAGCAGCCATTACTCCAGTCTTCAGTGTCACATGAAATCATTCCAATATGCTGATTTGGTGCTCAAGGAACATTGGTTACAAAACATCTTTTGTAATGTTTTTACTGTCATTTTTGACCAATTACTGTATCCTTGCTGAATAAAGTATTAATTTCTTTAAAAAAAAAATCATACTGACCTCAGACATTTGAATGGTAGTATAGGTTATGGGTTTTGCTTATGCAGTCAATTGATTCACTATGGCAAAAGTTATGATCAAATATAATATAAATCTTACTTTCCTAGTCTAATGTTACATAAGGTTGTAACACCTTTCCCTGTACCACATCAGTGGTAATTATTTTATGTAAATATATATTTTTTCTGCTGTAGGCCTGTGATTAACCCTTTTAAACTCATAAAATAAGAAACACAATATGTGAAAAGAATTAGCTGCCAGCAGCAAATAATGCTATATTATAACACTAACAAGGCAATATTATATTGTTAATTAAACAGTAGCACATAAATAAATTCAGACACCAACCGCATCTAGTTTTCCGTCAAGCCATGTAGAACTAGTTGGAGACACAAAATAGTTTTCCTCTTGTTCAGCTTCATGACTCATCTTTCCCTGCAGGAAGAATTTTATGACAGCTTATATTATGTGTCCCAAGGAACAGAACATCTCCCCAGTAAAACTGCTTAACCAGGTACAATATTGTGCATAAATATTATTTAAACATTAGAAAACAATGTGTTTCTATACTTCTCCTGTATGAAATGAGGAACATCTGGTCAGCGATTGCATCTGTGGATCCCAGTCATTCTTTCTGGTGAGGACAGTGTTTTCTGAGGATACAACTGACTCAAAAGAATCAGCAACTGACTGAGCATACTGGGTGGCTGCATTTGCTTTGCCAGCCCCAGAAAGCCTTAACCTGTTCAATTTAAATGCATGTAAAAACAAAGATGCTTCAGGTCCAGCTTCAAGGGCATTTTGAAACTACCAGAGAGAGAAAATATTGCTATAGATCAAAGCATAGTAATATTTGTCCATTTGATGTTTTTTGAGAGCCCTGAGCTCACCTGAGCCTGCTGCAGACGAGTGAGCCATCCCTCAGGCCCGCGGTGATGAGGGTCTGATTGTCTGGGGTGAAACAAACAGATCCGACTCCACCCTGCCAACTTGAGTGGCACTGCAGCTGTACATACCTGTCCTGCATGTCAAAAGTACGCACATTTACATCACATCACATATTTGGGCAGTTTCCGAGAAACATGCTTTTGCTAGCCCAGTACTCATAAACATGGATGAACTTGTAGAGATTGGTTTTAACAAACAATACCATTGTTGAGATCTCACAGATGCGCAGCAGTCCATCCCCACCAACTGTAGCCAGCCAGGTTTGATGTGGGGAGAACTGCAGAAAAGCAGGACTCAGAAAATGGCCCCCTGCCTCCTTCTCTAGTATCAAGTGAACTGCTTTCTGTGCATTTGAGGGCTTTTCTCCACTCTGTATATCACATGAGAAGCTGTTAGGAGCAGTGCCAAAAACACAAAATAAAACTGTCATCAGACTATAGGTGTTGTCTGTTGTTACAGCACCTCGGGGATACTGAATCTTTGCAAGACTTTTCTCTGTTGGCAGTAACCAAATATCTTGTTTATGCCCAGGACACAAGAGCAGAGAGCATGAGGGATCTCATATAGGCAGCTGTGCAGGACGTCTTTACACAGACGGCCATAGACATCCACACAATCTTTTGAGTCTGGAAGTGGCACAACATTATGAGAAGGAGTGCTGGAATTTTTGAATGTTTATCATTTGTCCCCCTATTTTTTTTAGAGAAGATTTCTGAATGCCAGCCTCAATTATGGTGTGTTTTTGTGTTTTCCTGATACCTGTAAGCTGCTGCACAAACAACGTCATTAGCAGAAGCACATTTCCCTCATTGATTTCTCTCTCTGTCTTGCTGCATAGCACCACCACTTCTCAACCTGTTTACTTTCCTTGTGGTACAGAGTAGAAAGGCTTACAATGGTACCTGGAGCCTCTGAAAAAAAATGTAAAAAGACTGGTTAGAAATTACTTCAAACTTTAGGCAAAAAAGTATATAATACATTTCAAAATTTTGGGGTTGGTAAGATCTTTTAATGTTTTTGAAAGAACCTTCTTGCTCATCAAGGTTGCATTTATTTGATAAAAAAAAATTAATATATTATCTTTCAATTATTCTATTTCTCACTCATACACAATGCTTGATGTTTGTGGAAACCAGTATCATAATCTTTCAAAAGTTTGGGGTTGGTAAGATTATTTTTTTTTAAATCTTTTTGAAATAAGTCTCTTTCCAAGACTGTATTTATTTGATTAAAAAAATACAGTAAACCAGAAATATTATTAAAATAAAATACCTTATCTATTTTTATATATTTCAAAATGTAATTTATTCCTATGATTGCAAAGCTGAATTTTCAGCAGCCATTACTCCAGTCTTCAGTGTCACATGAAATCATTCCAATATGCTGATTTGGTGCTCAAGGAACATTGGTTACAAAACATCTTTTGTAATGTTTTTACTGTCATTTTTGACCAATTACTGTATCCTTGCTGAATAAAGTATTAATTTCTTTAAAAAAAAAATCATACTGACCTCAGACATTTGAATGGTAGTATAGGTTATGGGTTTTGCTTATGCAGTCAATTGATTCACTATGGCAAAAGTTATGATCAAATATAATATAAATCTTACTTTCCTAGTCTAATGTTACATAAGGTTGTAACACCTTTCCCTGTACCACATCAGTGGTAATTATTTTATGTAAATATATATTTTTTCTGCTGTAGGCCTGTGATTAACCCTTTTAAACTCATAAAATAAGAAACACAATATGTGAAAAGAATTAGCTGCCAGCAGCAAATAATGCTATATTATAACACTAACAAGGCAATATTATATTGTTAATTAAACAGTAGCACATAAATAAATTCAGACACCAACCGCATCTAGTTTTCCATCAAGCCATGTAGAACTAGTTGGAGACACAAAATAGTTTTCCTCTTGTTCAGCTTCATGACTCATCTTTCCCTGCAGGAAGAATTTTATGACAGCTTATATTATGTGTCCCAAGGAACAGAACATCTCCCCAGTAAAACTGCTTAACCAGGTACAATATTGTGCATAAATATTATTTAAACATTAGAAAACAATGTGTTTCTATACTTCTCCTGTATGAAATGAGGAACATCTGGTCAGCGATTGCATCTGTGGATCCCAGTCATTCTTTCTGGTGAGGACAGTGTTTTCTGAGGATACAACTGACTCAAAAGAATCAGCAACTGACTGAGCATACTGGGTGGCTGCATTTGCTTTGCCAGCCCCAGAAAGCCTTAACCTGTTCAATTTAAATGCATGTAAAAACAAAGATGCTTCAGGTCCAGCTTCAAGGGCATTTTGAAACTACCAGAGAGAGAAAATATTGCTATAGATCAAAGCATAGTAATATTTGTCCATTTGATGTTTTTTGAGAGCCCTGAGCTCACCTGAGCCTGCTGCAGACGAGTGAGCCATCCCTCAGGCCCGCGGTGATGAGGGTCTGATTGTCTGGGGTGAAACAAACAGATCCGACTCCACCCTGCCAACTTGAGTGGCACTGCAGCTGTACATACCTGTCCTGCATGTCAAAAGTACGCACATTTACATCACATCACATATTTGGGCAGTTTCCGAGAAACATGCTTTTGCTAGCCCAGTACTCATAAACATGGATGAACTTGTAGAGATTGGTTTTAACAAACAATACCATTGTTGAGATCTCACAGATGCGCAGCAGTCCATCCCCACCAACTGTAGCCAGCCAGGTTTGATGTGGGGAGAACTGCAGAAAAGCAGGACTCAGAAAATGGCCCCCTGCCTCCTTCTCTAGTATCAAGTGAACTGCTTTCTGTGCATTTGAGGGCTTTTCTCCACTCTGTATATCACATGAGAAGCTGTTAGGAGCAGTGCCAAAAACACAAAATAAAACTGTCATCAGACTATAGGTGTTGTCTGTTGTTACAGCACCTCGGGGATACTGAATCTTTGCAAGACTTTTCTCTGTTGGCAGTAACCAAATATCTTGTTTATGCCCAGGACACAAGAGCAGAGAGCATGAGGGATCTCATATAGGCAGCTGTGCAGGACGTCTTTACACAGACGGCCATAGACATCCACACAATCTTTTGAGTCTGGAAGTGGCACAACATTATGAGAAGGAGTGCTGGAATTTTTGAATGTTTATCATTTGTCCCCCTATTTTTTTTAGAGAAGATTTCTGAATGCCAGCCTCAATTATGGTGTGTTTTTGTGTTTTCCTGATACCTGTAAGCTGCTGCACAAACAACGTCATTAGCAGAAGCACATTTCCCTCATTGATTTCTCTCTCTGTCTTGCTGCATAGCACCACCACTTCTCAACCTGTTTACTTTCCTTGTGGTACAGAGTAGAAAGGCTTACAATGGTACCTGGAGCCTCTGAAAAAAAATGTAAAAAGACTGGTTAGAAATTACTTCAAACTTTAGGCAAAAAAGTATATAATACATTTCAAAATTTTGGGGTTGGTAAGATCTTTTAATGTTTTTGAAAGAACCTTCTTGCTCATCAAGGTTGCATTTATTTGATAAAAAAAAACAGTAAAAAGAAATGTTATTACAATCAAGAAACTTTTTATTATTATCAATGTTGAAAACATTTGTGCTTTTTGTGAAATCCATGATACATTTTTCAGGATTCTTTAATAAATAGAATATTCAATAGAACAACATTTAATTAAAATAGAAATATTTTGTAATTTTACATTTCTTTACTGTCACTTTTGATCAATTTAAAGCATGCTTGCTGAATATAAGTATACATTCCTTTAAAAAAGAAAATCTTACTGACCCCAAATAGAGAGAATTGAACAGTAGAGTGTCATCCTAAAAATTACCAATCCATCCAATAATTTCAAATCCTTCTGATGGTCTTGCGCTAAGCACAAACATGCGTGAGTCTGATGCTCCTGTGAATAAGAAGTTACCACCTTGATCAAACCTGTTGAACAAATATAATATACAGTATGCTCAACATTCAATACACAAGAAATATGAGAGCAAATGATCATGGTGCTGTGAAACTCACACCAAATGGTCTACAGGGACATGGTAGAGATGAACTCTGTGAACTAGTCTGGGCTTTTGTTTTGTGGTCATCTTCACAAACAGGACGTCTCCAGTGGCTGTCCCTACAACAACATACTGTGCTATGGGGCAGCATGCCATACTGGTCACCTGAAGTAAAGTTATACCAAATAACACAGATTTATGTACAGCAGACTTATTTTGGGTTTCCCTGGTTTGGGAAAAATAATTGGTGTGTGTCGTATAGAACCTCCAGTTATAGCACTAAGGTGTCTGCAGAAAGATGGAGCCCATGCAAAGTCCATCATCCAGAGCCCACAGCTGTACGTCTCCTGTTTCTCTGACTGACTGCAACAGTGAAGATACAGATGCCTTATTAGCTTCAATATCTACTTTGTATTTTAATATTTATATTGTAATACTATACGAATATAATATGTATCAGTATATTTATTGTGATTAATTAACCAATTGACACCACATGTTCTTTTACCAAACAAATGCTTCTGCCAGTGTATAATGGAGCAACAGCCACAAAATCTCCACAGAGTACATCCAGAACTTTGACAACTTTACCATTCAGCAGTGGTTTGAATTTGTAAACACAGCCCTATGAAGCAAAACCAGAATTTATTAATTATGTTTCTCAGCATTGTCTTTATTGTATTGAATTGCATTCTGGCATAAATTTAAGAATATGAGTTTTTAACATGACATTTTTGATCAAATATTATATTAATATAGTGTATATTATAATAAAACTTTTTACATTAATATTATTTTAATATGAATAATAAAAAAATACACTAACATTATCATAATATATAAACACTTACTGTATTAGAAACTATCAGCAGTGTCTCACCGTCAGGGGAACAGCATATACTCGAGGCTGCATCATCCAAAGCCCAAGCCTGCACCACCTCCAATTTGTTTCCTTTAATTTGTATGTTTCGTAAAATGCCTTCCTGTAATTGATTTGGAAATGCTCTTGAATCAGGCTGAAATTATGTCTCACTTGAAAAGAGATTAATGTCTACACATTTACACATTTCAGGCCTCATATTAGGGTGATGATAAATAAAATTTCTTACCATTCCCGCAGCAAAAAAAGTACAGTCTTGCAGTACTAAGCTCTGGAAGCTGCCTTCCTGCAGGGATGTTTCACTGTCATCTGTGATGTAAAATTACAACAACGCTTTTAAGAAGACAAGGAACTAAATTCAGTCTAGAATTCAAACTAGTTAAAAAAACATTTACATGTGAAATCCTGAAATGTTCTGATTTGATATGTAGCAAGTATGAGTTTACCTGTGGGGGTTAATTCAGTTTGAGGTTTATATAAGACAGAGACAAGCAAAGTGTCAGGATTCACACAAAGCAGGAAACCTTCCTTGGAACCAACATATAGGTCAGAAGAATTTGACCAGCAGATGGCACTTGGACACAGTTTTGGTTTTATTTGTTTCAAAGGCTGTTGGGAAAGACACATACTATTATGCTGTGACTTTGACAAAAATAAAGTGCTACTTAAACCTTCTGATTATGATGTTGAAATCAACGTCTGTTCTTTTGTTTTAATCATAAAATATTGTCAGGAAAAACATCACTTTATACAACACTAATAAAAACTCATCTTCAGGAGAGCTACTATAAGAAAACACTCTACTGTAGATACAGCCCGTACCACAAAATTGTCAGCTCTGTCTCCACTCAGTCCAGCGATTGCTGAAATGAGCATCTGAGGACCTAAGTGAGTCAGCTTCCCACTGAGCATACAAGACAGGTTTGTTTCACACTCAATAACTGAACCATCAGTGGCAGGGAGATTGACAGCACTGGCAAGAAAACATAAAGAAAGGATAATGGGTAAAATAAACAGTGTCTGTGCATTAATTCCATTCTTGGCATATGAAATCCATGTGCAAGTAACAGTGACATCTGCTGGAGAGGCACTCTACCTAGGTTTCATCAAATGATAGTTGTCACATCTTTCAACATTCCAGATGGTAAGGGACCTCAAATTTACAGCACAAATTTGACACCAGTTCATAGGGTTAAAAAACAATGCTGTGACATCCTCTCCCAAAAGTTGATTGCTACAAAGGGGAATGCCGCTCTCCCAGTTCCTAAATAGTGGATATTAAATAATATTTAAAAAAAATAATATTAAAAAAACACCTGCCCCAATTCCAGAAGCAGGACTCTGCAGAGTGTTCCTCGTCTAGTTTCCACATTGAGGAAAACAATGAAATTCCCGCAGGTGTAGCATGTTGTTTTCTTGTCGACAAATCTAAATGTGCCATTGTTGAATCCTTGCACCCACCTTATACATAATAATAAAAATAAAAGTAACATTATTTATCATTTATTTTGCATGCACTCTCATCGTTGCATTGAATACATTATTTGTTCTTTTTTTATATATATATATATATAGTTTGTTTTTTAAGTTGATTTTATTTTTTATTTTTTTTTTAGATTAGTACGTTGAAAATGCATTTTAGTTTACTTTATATGACAACACGCCGTATTTCGAGTGTGTTTTCTGCTCAATGCTAGATAGCTAGCTATAATACTGATGAAGAAATTTTTTTTGTTGCCCAGACAGGATAACTTAACAGGCTATGCAAACAATGTTAAGGATTGTCAAAGTTTTTTTTTTTTTTTTTAATTATTCATAACTCACCGAACTTCCAAGTTTCCCAGCACATCCATTTCAATCCGTCAGCTAACCCTCAGCGTAGTACGTCTGTTCCCATAGCAACCCATAGCACGCGGACTTGAGAGTAACATTTTATTTTGATTAATTATATAACGTCACATTTTATTTGTTTTAAGATGATGCTACACATAAGAAACATAATATAATATTATAAACATAAATAATATATACATTCAAGTGTATAGTAACACACACATATAGACACACACATACACTTGTCTGGTTTGCTATCCTTGTGGGGACTCTCTATAGGTGTAATGGTTTTTCTACTGTACAGACCGTATTTTCTATTGCCCTACACCAACCCTACACCTAAACCTACCCCTCACAGGAAACTTTCTGCATTTTTAGATTTTCAAAAAACTTCATTCTGTGTGATTTATTAGCTTGTTTACCCGTGGGGACCTCAATTTAGGTCCCCACCGTGACATGAGTCCCCATGAGTCTGTGTGTATTCAGGTTTAAGTCCCCACCAGAATAGAAAAACAGGTACACACACACACACACACACACACACACATTGTAATGTAGTAGGTAGTGTCAACGACTAGATAAATAAAATGAAATACGAATAAAATAAAATTATAATAATAATTATTATTATTATTATTATTATTATTATTACTATTAGTGTTGTTGTTGTTAATTGGCTAGTTAGGTTGTTTAGTTTAACGACTTGTTTATGTCATTTCATCCCTTTTTATGTTTTGTTTCTAGCAGAACAAAAAAAAAAAATGTACTGGTGACTTTTATTTTGAAGGTGTGTTTGAGGCAGATTTTGAAAGGGAAATCCATATCAGTATATCGGATTCACAAAGCTTTTCAGTGGGAACCTTCAAACTTACAATGTTGGGCACGGCGTCGTGAGTAATAAAGTAATGTCCTGCAAAAGCGAAAGGACATCATTGTCCATTAACTAATCGAATGATCGGTAAATGCCTTTCGTATATGTCGTTTAACTTGACAGAAGGTCGTTCAAATAATTAGCTTAGTTAGCCAGCCGCGGGCGTTGGTTAGCTTGAATTTAGTCTTGTGTAGGTGCTGTGATGGCTTCTGCAATGTCTAGATCTCGTGAATGACTGTAACGGTTGTTTTAGCATGTGTACCGACAGATTACGCTTATTCATTACGGTTTGTGCCATGTACAGTAGTACGTGCGAGTCAGCACTTCATTTGAGGAAGTAGCTAGCCTACATAGCCAGGACAGGGAATGGAGCGGCTGTGTTATAAAAAGCCACTGAGTTCCCTATATAGACAGCATGTCTAGATGTGCGCATTCGAACAAAAAACTGCGCTTGAAACCGAGCCAGACTGCAATCCCTGGTCACTGACAGCCTTATGATTAACATTTGTTTCCCTAAAATAGATAAAGGGGGTCATGCAGCTCTTAATAATACATGTACGATGTGACCATAAGAATGTATTTGTATATATTTGTATTGTTCATTTGCATTTGGAAACATTACTTCCGTGTGTGGTGGGCTGTGGGTGGGTCTACTGGACTTTTAAACCCTGTTATCTCGGTTTGCTGTGTAACTCTCCAGAGATTATTTAAAGTCTGTGTAAAGAGAATTCTAAGAATTGTTTCTAAACACATTATAAATGTTAGAAATGTATTGCACAAACACATTACAAAGACTCTGAAGTGTGTAGTACTGAATTGTGGAGTTAAACCGTTGAACAGTTTTTCACCAATTCTTCTGTATTCAGGATTTTTGGGGGGGCGGGGCTAAAACGGTGGCTCGATGACGCAATGGAGCCACCGAGCATGGCCCCGCCCCTAACACTATAATATATAGCCTACTGCGTATTAGCGTCAGAAGAAAAAAAATTACCATTCTGTTGCAGACCGAGTGGGATGAGGTTGATTCTCGGGTAGCCGGTCAATGTCCTCTGAATTGGATTCTGGCTCTGGAGGCTCAAACATGTATGGATGTATAAATCCAATTAAGCTACTAAAGGTAGCATGAGTAGCATCCATTCAGTTTGGAGCGGTATTTGACGGTTGAGAGAGATGGCCGCTTTCCCGCAAGTGGGCGTGGTTTCAGCGCCGACAGCGGACACGCCCCCAGCGTTTGAGAGCAGAGAGTCCTGCTTATTTTTCCAAGATTTTGATAACATGTTATTTACTTGGCGGTTTTTTTTATCATTCAAATTTGGCTGGGTGGTTAATAACACATTTTTCTGTTGTGTGACAAACTCAGAACACATATTTTAATATCGCTTTACACAGACTTTAAATTGTGTGTGGGATCAGTTGAGGGAGGTTATGCTGCACACTGTGCACAGGCTGATCTGCTTACATGTTTGCACTCAGGGCCCTTGCTTTTGTTATAAGCTGATCTTTTGTCACCCAAACTGATTGTTTATCCTAAGGATCAGCTCAGCTTTCCCTTTTGCAAACTTGTCTCTCGGCAGGTGAGTGCTGGCTGAAGGATAATGGCACATGTTGGGGCAGTAGTTGCAGCGATGGCCGGTGTGATGGCCATTCTGCTTCATTCTTCCATTCACAAGATTGAGGAAGGACATTTAGCTGTGTATTACAGGTGAGTATAAGGAAGTTGCATTAAAAATATGCACAGGTTTTATGCTGCTTTTGTTAATGATTCCTAAAATACCTGTAATTTAGTTGTAGGTTGAAGGCTAGATCAGTTAAAATTGTGTTTAACACAATGTTTGAAAATTGTCATTTGGCCAAGCCTGTATAACTTTTGTCATCTGTGGAACATTAAAGGGGTCATATGATGCTATTTTAAAGATCATTATTTTGTGTATTTGGTGTAACAGAATATGTTGACATGCTTTAATGTTCAAAAAACACATTATTTTTCAAATACTGTACATTATTGTAGGTCCTCTATGCCCCGCCTCTCTGACACATGTCGTTTTCAACAAAGCCCCCTCCTTTGACAAGCGCAGTCTGCTCTGATTGGCCAGCTGACCCAGTGCATTGTGACTGGCCGAACACCACAAGCACGCGTGGGAAATGTAACGCCCCTTATCAGATTGTCAAAGCAAAGTCAGAATTTACCCTTTTTTTTTTTTTTAGAAATAGCCTTTGTGCACAGCCAGCCTTGTACTCTTCTAGGTTCAAAAAACTGTCGTCCATAAAATGCGTTGCACAAATTCGAATATCTGGGTTGTGCTGTTCTGTTGTAAATAAATCTTAACCAATGATTCCTCATTGCATCTACTTCCGGAAGGCCAAATAAAGTGCTTTTCCATTCGCACTGAAATACACAGCGTCTCCCTGACATGGCTGCTTCAACACTACTGCTGTTCCTGAAACCACGCCTTCTTTCTTTGCATACACATTTGCTAATATTTCCACATAGTGACGTAGATATGTGGGGGCGTGTTAGAACGAGGCGTTTTAGGTAGGTGTGGCTGACTCTTAACTTTTATAAAGAATATCTCTTTGGATTTGAGACTTTAGTCTTTGCAACTTTACAGATCTTCTTTATGCACCAAGAGCTTGTAACACTCCAAAGAGAAAGGAAAACTTGAAATCGCATCATATGACCCCTTTAAAGAATCTATTTTGAGAAAAATATTAAAGAGAATTTTTTTTCCATATAATGGATGTCATTGGTCACCTATTGATCTGTTTAACAGCATTCTTTAAAAATTTTCCTTTGTGTTCCATAGAAGAATGTAGGTCATACAGGTTTGAAATGACATGAGGTAGAGTAAATGGTAGCAGAATTTTCATTTTTGGTTCAACTGTCTCTTTAGGTAACTTTACAGCTTCTTTATAGTAATAGAAGTTGTAATATTATTTCTACACAAATGAAATTGATGCCATTTTTATCATTCACATAATTAATTTGCTTCCTAACCCGGGTTCATGTTTTTTCCCATTTTTTTTCAGAGGAGGAGCGTTGTTGACAACTCCTAATGGCCCGGGTTACCATATAATGCTGCCTTTCATCACCTCATATAGATCAGTGCAGGTACAAATGTCATGTATTTACAGTTGGCCCAGTACAAAAATTAATTCTTGTTTTATTACAGCTGTACGTATTATATATCATTTATTATGATCTTTTTCTACGACTTTTGGAACATGAGTGGATTTTTGAGGTTGTTGAATATTTTGCATTTACATTTATGCATTTAGCAGAAGTTTTTATTAGAAAGCTAGAGAAACCAAGCTAGAATGTTGTTGAAGATGCTGATTTGTTTTTTTCCTCACGTTTGCATCATGTTTATAGACAACTCTGCAAACAGATGAAATAAAAAATGTGCCTTGTGGAACCAGGTAATCCTTCGTGTTGTTGTTATTCCATCAATATGTCCTGAAAAACGACTTAAAAATTGATCATTTTTGATCATCATTAAATTGTACTGGATATTTTCTGGGGTTCCTGAATGAAAGTACTAATTTCTTTGTCTTCCACAGTGGGGGTGTCATGATCTATTTTGACAGAATTGAAGTGGTCAACATGCTGGTTCCATCAGCAGGTAAGAGCCTTAAAGGGATAGTTCACCCAAAAATAAAGGTTCTGTCTTCATTTATTCACCCTCAATCCTTTTTCAAACATGTATGACTGACCTTCTTCCATGGAAGTCAAAATGAGATGTTAGGCTGGATGATAAAATGAGGTCATGCTCTTGTTCTCCTCCACAGTGGTGGACATAGTGAAGAACTACACTGCAGATTATGACAAGACAGTAATCTTCAACAAAATTCACCATGAGTTAAACCAGTTCTGCAGTGTGCACACCCTGCAGGAAGTCTACATAGAACTGTTCGGTAAGTCACTGATATGTCAAACAGTTTATTTGGCCAAGTATACTGTGAATTTTCGGTTGTTGATGTGAGTGCTGCAGTTTCTGCTGTGTCATTTGTTTAGTTTTTGGTGCCTTCTGACAGCAAAAACATTTGTCATGGACTTGCATTTGTGTCATTTTTGTTTGACAGATATAATTGATGAGAACTTAAAGACTGAGCTGCAGAAGGACTTGAATGTTATGGCTCCTGGCCTCACAATTCAG